GCAAGGAGGCCTTGGTGCTGCAGTGCGAGTGGGAGGCGTGCACCTACGTGGCCTCGAAGATGGAGGAGTTTTGCGAGCACGTAGCCCAGCACCTGCAGCAGCACGTTCCCGGGGAGCACCGGGACGAGATGGACCCTCTCGGTAAGGAGCTAGCAGCCTCGACCGCTGCGGCTTGGGCCCTCTCTCTTTGAGCTATTTCACTGTGAGAGCATCTTCCTCTCCCAGAGGGGAACAGCGCTGCCTGCTGCAGGACTGGAGTCTCACGAAAAGCACCGTGGTGTTTGTCTGCGGCATTCTGAGCTTTACTTGGAGAGTTTTCATCAGACCCTTATGGCCTGTGTATTTCCGGTTTGTGTTGCAGAGGAATACACGTGTTTGTGGCAGGAATGTGGTTTCTGTTCCCCAGAGAGCTCAGCTGACCTCATTCGCCACGTCTATTTTCACTGCTACCACACCAAGCTGAAGCAGTGGGGGCTGCGGGCCCTGCAGAGCCAGTCAGATGTGAGCCATTGCCAGCTGGACTTCCAGAGCCGCAATATCATCCCTGAGATCCAGGAGAACTTTCTATGTCTGTGGGAGTACTGTGAGGTGAGAACAGGGGACCTGGATTTGCTTTCTTCTGTGTAATCTGTGCCGTGGTGGAAAAGGGGAGGAGAAAAGGGTTTGTCCTGCAGCTCACCTGTATTGCGTGCCTGTTGGCTGTGTTTGTACCTGTGTGAAAGTGTCTGTTGTGTTCTGGCTGAGGCCGGCTCATGCTCATCTTTTCACCCTGTTCTGTCTGTCTCTGCTCCCCAATAGAGATCATTTGATAATCCTGAGTGGTTCTATCGGCATGTGGAGGATCACAGCTTCTGTTCGGAGTACAAGGCAGCAGGCAAGGAGAACCATGTGGTCCTCTGTGGCTGGAAAGGTTAGTGGGTGTATGCAAGGCCTCTCTACTGAGCTTTGCGCAAGGCTGGATTGCAAATTGTCGTGGTTTAACCTGGCTGGCAACTAAGCACCATGCAGCTGCTCGCTTACACCCCCCCCCCCACCTCAGTGGGATGGGGGAATCGGAGAAAAGAAAAAAAAAAGTAAGACTCGTGGGCTGAGATAGAGACAGTTTAATAAGAGAGAAGAATAACAATAGTGATGATAATAATAATGGTAAGAGAATATACAGAATACATAAAACAAGTGATGCACAACGCAATTGCTCACCACCCGCTGACCGATGCCCAGCCTGTCCCGAGCAGTGATCACTCAGCCCAAGCTGCGACCACTCTGCTCGCGACTGACCGACTGACTAACCCCCCTGAGCATGACGTTCTATGGTATGGAATAGCCCTTTGGTCAGTTTGGGTTAGCTGTGCTAGCTGTGCTGTACTCCCAGCTTGTTGTGCACCTGGCCGAGCAGGAGAAGCTCAAAAAGTCCTTGAGTAGTCTGAGTACTACTTGGCAACAACTGAAAACATCAGTGTGTTATCAACATTCTTCTGGTACTAAATCCAAAACACAGCACTGTGCTGGCTACTATGAAGAAAATTAACTCTATCCCAGCTGAAACCAGGACATAAATGTTGTACAGGAGAACTCCGCACTCCTTGGCAGGGTTTCAGAGAGCCTCTTAAACTTCAAAAATATGTATGCATGCATGGTCCTAATAGTGAAATAGTCCTGTAGAATTTCCTTCAGGGGATCCAGTTGAGTGCTTAATATTGAACTTGTCATTTATATTTAATTAGTGCCTAGAAGAAAAGGCTCCAGTTTAATTTTTTCAATAATTCCTATCTCCTGTGTTTGTACAATTGCCTTAGCTGCTTGCAGTGGCAGAGGCCCGCACCAGTTGTACACTAATGATCTCATCCTGCTGTGGCCCTGCTCTGTGGGCTTTTTGGAGCAGGGAGTTAATCCTTGCTAGTTAAAAATAGGGGCAAGAAGCCTACCATTCGGTCAGGCTGTGGCTCATGGCCCATGTGTGAAGGATCGTAATGGCATTGTGTTGTTTCTGTTTAGACTGTGATTGCACCTTCAAGGGGCGCTGCAAACTGCGGGAGCACTTGCGCAGCCACACACAGGAGAAGGTGGTGGCCTGTCCTACCTGTGGGGGGATGTTCGCCAACAACACCAAGTTTTTTGACCATATCCGCCGTCAGACTGCACTGGACCGTAAGCTCCTGTGGGTGGGGACTGAAATCAAAGGCAGCAGCTGGGCACTTTGCAGCAGCATTGGGATTTGCTTCTTGAGTTCCCTTGTTTTGTGCTGGCGATGTGTGTCTGTGTGATAGTTGCTCCCCAGTTCCTGCCCTGGCAGCAGCAGGAGGCTGTGTGAAGGGGAGTCAGACTGGTCTTTGCAAGTAGTTTTTTTTGTTTGTTTGGCTTTGTAGTCAGTGCCTGCTATCTGCCTGGAGAGAAGGGTTCCCAGCTCCACTGTAACTACCTCTTTTTCTCACTGGGTGCTTTTCTCTCTGATTTCTTTTCTCACCACTCCCTCCCCTTCCTCCCTGGCCCTGATGCTGCAGAGCAGAGGTTTCAGTGTTCCCACTGCTCCAAGAGATTTGCCACAGAGAGGCTGCTCCGTGACCATATGAGGAATCATGGTGAGTAAAGGCCACTTCTCCCAGCTGAGGCTCTGAAGAGTGTGTGTGCTCTCCCCTGCTTTACGGTAAGGTTTTCCGCCCATTCTTTCGCACAGTGAACCATTACAAGTGCCCTCTGTGTGACATGACCTGCCCACTGCCCTCCTCCCTGCGCAATCACATTCGTTTTCGGCACAGTGAGGAGCGGCCATTCAAGTGTGACTACTGTGACTACAGGTGAGGACCAGGGCTTTCCATCTTCCCAGACTGGTGATTGAGAAGCACAGAGAGGCACGTGTGTGTGTGCACGCATGCTACAGTGTTCAGCTTTGTTCCCTTATCATTTCCTTTCAGCTGCAAGAATCTCATTGACTTGAGGAAACATCTGGACACGCACAGCAAAGAGCCAGCCTATCGCTGCGAGTTTGAGGCTTGCAGCTTCACTGCACGTTCCCTCTGCTCTATCAAACTGCACTACCGGAAAGTCCATGAGGTGGGAAGGGAGCAGAGGGCTATTCTGCTGTGTACTCTCTCCCAGTGAGGCTGAGAACTGCCAAGTGCAACATGCTGTACAGAAGCATGAGGCAAAAAGCTAAAGTCATGTGAAGTGCCCCAGGCTGACCAGGGCTATAGGAATGTGAGGTCAGATTGCATTCCTCTCTTATTGCTGCAATGATACGTCGTGTCAGTGTTCTCGGAGAACCTGATTCCTCCTTCCATGCGCATTTGTGGCTACCAGGCCCTCTAATCAGGCTCATGGGATATTCACATTCCTCTCTCTGCCCCTCAGGGTGACTCAGAGCCCCGGTACAAGTGCCATGTCTGTGACAAGTGCTTCACACGTGGAAACAACCTCACTGTCCACCTCAGGAAGAAACACCAGTTCAAATGGCCCTCGGGGCATCCTCGCTTCAGGTACTGCCCATCCTTAGTTCTTCTCTGTTCCCTCTCTAGTGCAAGAGACAGCTGGAGCTGCATCCTGCCTCTTGCTGAAGCAGCAACCTGGCACTGCTTGGGCTCTGACATTTGCCTGTAATGTGCTCGAGACCCATTTTCTAGTGGCTGGGAGGCACCGGACAGGAAGCATACAGTGGGATCTGGCACAGCAACAGAGCAGTGCTGGGTGGCAGCTCCAGCAGTGGGTCAGAGATTAGGGGCAGTAGTAGTGCCATCACAGCTGCATCTGGTGGGACGCTTCTGAGGTTGGCAGGGGTCAGGTCCAGGTGTCCCACTCCAGAGAGAGCTGCTTGCAGATCAATCTCTTGAGAGATCATCTTGACAGATGCCTCTGCTGCATCCCCTCTAGGAAACTCCAAAGGGTTTCCAGAGCCTAAAAGCTGGGAGAGGAAGAGGATGGACTTCAAATGCTCCCAGTGAAACTGAGTGGTGGAAGGAGATGGGCATGGGAGATGATAGAGGCCTGGCAGAAAGCTCAGAAGCTGCCACATGGATGGGCTTTTAGGGGTAGGGGCTGAAGGGTTTTTATCCTGCCTGCCTGGTATCATCCATGTAGCACTGGGTGTTGGAGCCTAGAATATAGTGCCCCTTCCTTAGCTGCCACCTTTCTCTTGGGAAGGGGCTGCAGTGTGACTGGCTCCATCATCTCTGCCTATCTCTGCTCAGGTACAAGGAACATGAGGATGGCTACATGAGGCTGCAGCTGGTGCGTTACGAAAGCGTGGAGCTGACAGAGCAGCTACTGAAGGACAGAGAGAAGCGGGGAGAGGCACTGGATGGCTCAACTGAGTGTGTGGTGCTGTCAGAGGGTGAGGGCAACCTGCAGGGCATCATTCTGGAGGCGCCAGCAGAGGCTTCCCTGGCAGAGAATGGTATTGCTGAGCTGCAGGTGGCCCCGCTGTGCCCAGCTCCTTGCTCTGCTGACAACCCTGAGCCAGCACAGCCAAGTGCCTTCCCAGGAGCAGCGCTGTCGTCAGAGCAAGAACCCAGCGCCCCGGCCAACCCTATCATCCGTGTGGTGAACCGGACCAATGAGCATGGGGAGAGCGAGACTGTGTATTATGTCATGGCCAGCACATCCTCAGAGGAGCAGCTGGCAGCACCTGGCGGGCTGACTATGGAGCTGGAGGAGAATGTCATGGACCGTCTGCAGAAGACTGCTGAGGAGCTGGGCATCCAGATCGTGTGAGGGGCTCACCTGCCTCTCTGTGTGAGGAAAACCTGGGCCTCTGTGGGATGTGCGGGTGGGGGATATTGGGAAGTGCTTGGGGGAGAGGGCTGAGCTTGTCTTCACCTATCTGCAGCTGGCTGTCTTCTTGCTGCCCCAGCCTCACTAGCTGCCAGTTCTGGTCAGTGTGGGGAGAGGGGAAGGACAGGCCTCTCTCAGTTGTGGTTTGAGCGATCCAAGCTGGAAAGAGCTGTCTGTCTCCTCCTTTTGGGGGTTAGGGACTAGAAAGCCTCTCCCACCCTTCCAGAAGGTTTGGCCTTAGCCTGTCACAGGCCTTCCCCTCTTGGTCACTCACTGGTGATGTGGTCCCTGCTGCTGTGCAGCTAAGTTGTCAGCCCTTGCTGAGCCTGGTCCTCAGCTGGGATCTCCCCAGGTGGGATGGTGTGCTGAGCAGACACTGTAGCTGAAGCCTCTTCCCTGGGGACATGTGTGGCCCTTAGCAGGCCTGTTCTCCCCCATCCATACTTTGTTCTCCAAGGGGTGGCATGCTTTACATCTGCCTTCATCATCCCTTCCCTGCGCATAGTCTTTCCTAGGTTGTTAGCCGGTGCTGTCGGTGGTGGTTGCACCACTGATCCCATTACACTGCACTGATCCCAGGGAGGAGAGGGCTGGAGGTGCTGTCACTTGCAGGCTACTGCTACCCTGCGGCACTGGGGGATTGGGAGCTTTTTATTGCTTTTGTCCTTCCCTGGGTTTCCTCCCCACATTGGGGTTTGGGCTCCTGCTTGGGCAAAGTGTACTTTGGCAAGACAAATAAAAGTCAGACTGCCAGGCCAACCAGTGTCTGGTGTCTGTTTCAGCCCCATGCCTGCCAGCCGTGGTATACTGTGGTGAGAGGACAAGACCAAGTTGCTGAGAGCCTGCACTGTGGGAGGTGGGCACTGAAGAATTGCTAGGATCTCTTGATGTGTCCTACATGCTGCTGCTTGGTGCAACTGCCTTGGAGAGTGTTGTTCCATGTCCCCAGAGGTGTCACTGGAAGGCTGGGTTTAGCTCTGGCACTCTTGTTCCCTGCTGTCTTGATGCAGGTTTTATTTTTTGCTGCCTCCTTCAGGGCGTGAATGTCAGCTGCCTGCAATGTCACTTTTTGAATATAGAGAGTAGCCTGTGCTTGTGAGCTCTTTGTCAAGTGAATAGGATGAGGACAGTGTGAAGCTGGTGTCACTGGAGTGACACTCGGGCCCTCGCCACCCTGTGTGTGGAAGTGACATGCCCAGATGGAGGCAGGGAGGTGCCCTGCTGGTCTCCTGGGCTGGACACTGATTTTTTTTTTTTTTTTTTTTTTTTTATTCCCCCCCTCCCCTTGCTCCCTTTCTCAAGCAGTTCAGCAAAAGCTGTTGGAATTCCAGGTTAATGGAGGAAATCACTTTATGCTAAACCCCTCGCCATCTGCTCGCTTTCTAATTACAAACGCAGTGGGCGTCATTTGTGGCTGTGCCCTTGGGGTGGGGTGATGAGAGCAGCCCCTTAGGCCTGCACCCTGGGTGAGGGGCAGCATGCTCAGCTGCTGCCGTACGCAGGGGCTGGGTGAGGAGCAGGGATGAAGTGGGCAGAGCTGTCCACTGCAGGCTGTGTGGGAAGGTTTCCTAGGGCTGGATCCATGTGTGAAGGGCAATACGCACCCCCCACCCCCTGCTCTCTTCAGGAGTGTGCATGGGGAGTGGCTTCCCTTGGGCCAGTGAAACACAGCTAGGGCCATGCGCTGGGCACCTTGTGCTCGGGGTGAGGCAGAGCAGGAGGCAGCTGCCTGCCCCAGCAGCCCTGACAGCGTACGCTGCAGGAGGGTGCTGCTAGCTCTGGGGAGAGCATCCCTGGGCTGCTGGTATGCGATATGGCTGGGCCTTGATCAGCCCTCCTGGCCCCTGTCTGGCCCTTGCTCCCTGGTAGTTGGCAGAGCTGGACCGAAGATACCTTCGAGAGAAGGGCCTCCTGCCAGGTTTGCATTCGCAGCACTTCCAGCTTGGCCCTATTTCCAACATGCAGGCCTCAGGACTCCGCTGCCAAAGCCGTGGCTGCACCTGCATTATCTTGGACTACAGTGCTCCTGTAGGATGCGAGTGCTAGGTGTTGGGAGCAGAGGTGAGGCTGTGGTGGCTGGGAGGAGTTGTCCCTTTAAACACTGGGTCCAGGGAAGGTAATCTGCCAGAGATTATCTGCTGGGGAGAGGATTGGCATTAAAGGGAATGTCTCCTCCCTTCCCCCATGTCCTGCAGCATCCCCTGTCCTGTGTGTATGGAAACCAAGTTCACTTTTTCCTGGGCAAGCAGAGAAGGGGGGCTTTGATTTGAGGGCCAAGGGGAGGAGGGCAGAGTGTGCACTATGGGACTTGGCCTCCTCTTCCTCACCATGCTGGCCACGCTAGTCTTCTGCGAGGACCCGGAAGGTAACAGGGTGTTTGGGGGAAGAGGGGCTTACAGGGTGCCCCAGAGCTGTTGGCACCTGGCTGGACTGGTATTCCCAGCAGGGAACAACACCTTTGTGACATCCCTGTGCTAAGGATTGGCACAGGGGAAGCGGGAGCTGGCTTGCAGAAGGGCTGGGGGCTGCAAGGGGACGCAGTCCTCACCGCAGCAGGGGTCGGGGTTTGGGCTGAGACGAGCCTTTGCTGGGCTTGTACCACCTCTCTGTGGGTCTCTGAGGGCTGGGCAGCTGGTGGGAAGGTGGTCCTCAGCTCCCTGCCCCAGCCCTGCTCTGCCTTACTCCCTGCGGCACCAGGAGACCTGGATACTTACTGGTCTGGGACAGCGCCCATCTGCTTGGGGGGCTGCAAGGGGAAGCACAAGGAGCTGAAGAGGAGCCAGTGCGGGAACGGCAGCTGCTGCTGGCTGGGCTACAAGTCCTTCTGCCGAGGTACAGCCAGAGTGGGGAGACTGGTGGGGGGCCTGGGGATGGCTGCAGGCTTGGCACAGCCATCCTGGGGAGGGCAGGTTTTGTGCTAGACGCATGTGCACGGAGTCTCTTGGGCCCAGTCCTTGGGCCACGAGAGGAGGCAGCCAGGGCACCTGCAGAGCCTGCCCAGCACCCTGGTCCTCGCCCAGGACCTGCAACCTTGTGTGTGTGCATCTCCTTGGGCTGCCATTCTGCCAAGCAGGCTGCACAGGGTGCTAGCCCTGCGCTGCCCTCAAGAACCTCCCTGTCCCCAGTGAACTGCGGGCGACCTGAAGCAGACTTCAATTCGGTGGTGTACGGCAACGACTGGTGGGTTGGCTCAGTGGTGGGGTACAGCTGGCG